GATAAAGTAACAAACAGAACCTGACCTTCATGTCGTTTGAGAAAGGGAGAGTCTCTAGCTGGAGTCTCTGCAATGAGCAATGTGTGTATGCAGGCAAGTGAGCATGGGAACGCGTGTATGCATTTAGCTGTGATTTATTTCTGTAAGTTTGATTCCATTCTTTCTGTTTCTTTTCAAACGTAGACTGAAGCTATTTAACTCTCTGATTAACTCACCTCCCCGTATGAGTTGTTTTGTGTGATGTATTCCAGCACTGTACAACCTTTCTGGAAGCCGACTCGCTGCTGTTGGGATGAATTCCTCCCCGATGCGTAGTGTGGCCCATTTGTTCTATTTACTGGTGTTGGAATGAGGTTCTGCGTTTGCTGTAAATCAGATCTGGAGGAACATTTCAGTGTCATGTCAGGTTCTGCTAGTTTGATAGTATCAGAAATAATATGAGGTCCTCTCAGCAAGAAAAGGTATCATGTCACAAAATCTCCTTCTGCACCACTGTGGTTTCAAGGTCCCTAGAACTTTAGTTTGGACTTGGTCCACTGTAAATCTCAGTAAAATCTGACTCTTGTTTTGTGCTGACATTTCAAGGGCTCCAAAACCCAGTGATCTTCTTAGCCAATCTGAGCTCATCAGTACTGTCAAAACATTTATTCAAAGGCTTAAGAGTGATAGGAACAATGTCATTGATCCCTTCTTCCTTAAAGATCTCCTTTACTTTCTATTCAATTTCCTTAATAGCTTATGTACACACATTTCTTTGCTGGACAGGCTTAGGTTTTGTGTCACTACCATGCAAATATAACTGGAAAACCAAAATCCCTATTACACCATTTGGTGGTTTCATGGACACATAAAGGAAATATATTCCCTACAGCATTACTGCCTTACCCAGCAAGTCTCAGCAACTGTTTGCTTCACTAGCTAGAAGATATAGAAGCTTCTTGTAGGGTGGTGGTGGGCACAGATGTGCCCACATCTACTGCAGCTGTGCCTTTTTTTTCTTATTGGAGAAGCAGCCTTTCTTTCTCCACTCTTTAAGACATTTAGGCTGGTGGAGCTGGAGAAGATTTTTTCCTACCCATTGGCTGTAGTCTAAGAACAGCAGATTGGCTACAGGTGAACCCCCCCGCACACCTGATGGTGTAAGGTTCCAGAAGTAGCATGTGGTAGTGTTGCATGTGCGTACCTTTATTTCTAGTTTTTGTATAGATGAGCAATTGGCTATCTCCGTCCCATGCTACCCCTCCCCCCATCCCCCACTGCAACCCTCCAGCTACGCACGGTGTTAACGCTCACCTGTGCCAGAGAGGGATGCTAAATGCGGGGCTTTCCAAGAAGGCAAGCAATAGATTACTGCAGGTGACTTAGGGACTGCCTCAGCCTGACAGGGGTGGTTTGGGAGTACAGTACTTTATTTCAGCAGTATATTTTTTCTTGTTTTGTTTTGCAGAAGGAACACTGATCCTACCTTTGGTTTGTTTGTTTGTTTGTATTTTCCCCTCCAGAAAGCCCATTGCTGACCCTGCTACTGTGATACCGCTGTTTTGCAAAGCTGGAGTCGACACGCATGTAGGGGTGGGGGTTGTAACTCTGGCAATTTGTCCTTCCCGATTAGATGTGACTGTTCTGCTAGCTTTCCCCTCTTTATTCCTTTCATTTAGTTCGTTGTGGGAGTTGGCTTGGGGTTTTTTTCCTTTCGGTTTCTTGTTTTGATCCTGGAAGGTTAGCTGTGCAATTTGGTTTCTTCTGTGCCAACCAACTTTAGTGGCAGAGCTCTTAAAAAAATTAAAAGCTGTGTCCCTCCATCCTGTCTTGCTTCTTCTCTGTACACTACTGCTTCCATTTAAGCAAAGTTTACAGAATTGCTCCACCCATTTGGACACCAGGAAAGGAAGCTCTGAAATGGAGAATAACCTTGTTTCCACCAGGTCCTTCAGTCTGCTTGAAACCACGCTAATTGGAACTGTAGTCCAATTTCTAATGAGATGGATGGTCTCTCTCTGAAATTGGGTTTGTTTCTGATTTCATCCTTTGTCTTTGTTCCCCCCCCCCCCCAAAAAAAAAAAAGCTCCACAAAAACCAAACCCAAAGCCAAACCATTTTTAAGAGCTCTGAATAAAACTGCTTTGCCAATGGGGAATGGGTGGGGATGACTCTGATTTTCTCTTGTGCCCGGCAGCGAAAGGGTTAATGCCTGCTTTCCTCTTTGGTATCTGTTAGTTGCAGCCCATGTTGTGATCAGTCCATGTCCATGTGCGTTTTGTTCCCAAATTTCATACCGGTTAATTAACAAGCAACAAGTGAGCCTTAACAATGACAGTTGTTTCCGATCTTCCTCAGGACACCCGACCTGCCTGCAGTTCACCACAAACATGACTGAGGCTGTTAAAACCTATCAGTGGCAGTGCATTGAGTGCAAATCCTGCAGCCTTTGTGGGACCTCTGAGAACGATGTGAGTTCATTTACCTTTTCATGCAAATAAGCGTCACTGCAAGCTACTGTCATGCCTGCCATCAAGGAGCACGTGGCAATGGTGTGGGTCATGGCTTTACTGCTACTTCCATACATCTCTTAGGAAAAGTGACTCCTGAAAGTAGAGATGGGCTTCTCCCCAGTGCCCCTGTTCAGCTGTTGGTTTCTGCTGAAATTACCACAGGTGTCATATATGGCCACTTAAGGTGGCGATAATTGTGGTTTGTATGCTTATTCAATAGAAATTAGCTGGAGGCCATAAACTCAGGTCACAGGGAGCTGCAGGAGAGCAGTATTTTCAATACAGTAGTCAGGAGCAGATATGAATGGGTGATAACCTTTGAGACAGCAGGTATGTTTCTTCTGTCCCTGATTTTGCTTACTTTCTTAGCAAGATTTTACAATCTTAATTACAAGACTTGGGAAACTTGAAAGCATTTGGACTGGGATGGCTAGGCCTCTCTCTAGTCGCCTAATCATCTATCCCAGTGATTTCCAAACCACAATCCAGAGCCCGCAGCTGAACAGTGTACTCTCTGTGGGGTTTTCAGTTAAAATCTGATGCTAAGGGTCCTCGGCAGTCTGTGAAAAACTTGGAGAATTGACAGTGGCTGGAGAACTTGAAGGTGATTAGCTAACATTACATTCCCTATAGCAGAATAAATTTGAAGCCAGAGGTTTTGTTTTGTTTTAGCAGTAAATAAGGAAATATGAAAACAGGGAGCTGTTCTGTGTTAGGATTCACGGGATACTTCAGAGCGTTTTTTTTCTCCCCCAAATATATGAAAGAGCTGCAGACCACATGGTGGGGTCATGTAATTTCCATCTGTTTCACAGAGCATTTACTCAGCTGAGTTTTGGAGAACTGGTTAAGTCCAGGCTTTTGATGAGAAAGCTTTTCCCTGAAGGGATGAAATCCAGCACATGGTCACACTGGAGCCCAGCAAAGCCTGTCCTCTTCCCTCAGTACGGCATATCTCCAGCCTAACAGCTTTCACTCCTGCATCATGAGGACACCTTGGAGAGGAAGTCCTCCGCATCTCGGAGAGTTTTTCCGTTAGAAACTGAACTGCCTTTGTAATGAGAAGGGCTCTCTGCGGCCTCTCAGAAGTATGGTGGTTGATAGTGGACTCACAAATGTGATGCCTGTAGCCTTTTATGTTCCCAGTAGCCTCTTAGTCTCTATGTTGCAGCTCTACATTCCTAGCTGAGCACTGCTGGTTACCATGCTTATATTTTCATCTTGGCAAGAGACTAATTTACATAATTTTCTCTCTTCTCCTCTCCTTCTCTCCCTGTTTCCCTCCTGTCTCCCCAACAACCCTGTCTCAGGACCAGCTGCTCTTCTGTGATGACTGTGACCGTGGCTATCACATGTATTGCTTGAATCCACCAGTCTTTGAGCCCCCAGAAGGTAACATATGTTGGAAGTCTGCTTTGAAAATCACCATAAAGTCCTTGTGGAGACGGGAAGAATTTCAGAAATGTGGCCTGGGCCACGCGGGGTTAAGGAAGCAGTAGCAAAGCAGAGGCAGGTAGCACTGGAAAGAAAGAAAATTAATAGATGTGGAGGTCTAGTGTGATCTGAGATGTCCTATTCAATCTTGCCTGGTCTCTACCTCCTCTACCAGGACATGGTTCTTTTGCAGGTCATGGGTACCTTTGAGTGTCCCAGATGGCACTGGACACCTCAGTTTAGTCAACTGAATCAAGCTTCTGTGAACTGTGACTTTGGACTTCCTAACAAGTTGAAGTGCCAAAGAGAAAGCCCCAGACAAGGAGGTCCTCTCTGAAATAACTGAGAGTCTGTTCTCGGGATGCTGGATTAAGACGAATGACCTTGCTTGTTCTCTGGTCTGTCCGTGCCTTGGAACAGTGCGAGTTTTACAGTCTGTATTACGTTTGGTATGTAGTTACGTCCTCTGCAGGGGATTCAATCTGACTATACTACAACTGGTTGTAGTTTGTCACTTGGTCGTGGAGCAGAGGAACTAGGCCCTTGCCATTATCGATTCTCTGACTAAAATCTGCAGAGAGCAGTAGAATTGGAGAAGGAGACATGTGAGTGCGAATGACTGCGGTTTACATGAGGGGCGAGACAAGAACAATTAAAAATCAATCATGCATTCAGGAGCTAAATGTTTGTAACTTTGATAAAGAGGAAACTAAAAATTTTGTAATGCTGCTAGTAATTAGCTAAAAGTTTCTGTTTGACTGGGAAGTGGTGTATTGAAAGTATGAAAATATAGAACACCTAGTGGCAATGTATAGCCCAGCTGTGTTGTAACTTGTATGGAAAGCCTACATGCACAATACCAAGGGCAGCAGAGTCTGCTTCAGAAAATTACAGGCAATTCCCATGTTGGGACCATTTGATATCCTGTTCAAGCTGATCTTGACATAACCTCTGAGTGCCTGGATTTGATGTCATTCCTATAAGAAGGATTTTTTCGTTTGCAGGGAGCTGGAGTTGTCATTTGTGCCGGGAGCTGCTCAGAGAGAGAGCATCAGCTTTTGGCTTCCAGGCCTGAGGAACTCCAGCAGTCAAGAAACACTTTGCTCCTGGTGTTGCCATACCAGCACACAATTCCCATCCAGAACACAAAGACACAACCCACATCAAAATGAATGGACACTCAAATACAGGAAGAGGTATCTGTGGTATTCACCGTCACTAATGCCATACCTCCTGGGCTCTACTAGAAGGATTGTGTACTTTCCTGATACTCCGGATGAAATCTCTTCACTGCTATGCATGGTTGCTGCTTGCCGTTACGGGCTCACATGCATTATAGAAGGGGGAGGGTTGTTATATCGACATGGAGAAGTCAATTTTGTGTGGCCTTGTGCTTTCTGTTTAGTCTTCTTTTTAAAGAAGAAGTAGTAAGGTATCTCCCAAGGAATTATTGGTGAGTACTTTGGCTGGGAGCAGCACCGGTTGTTTCTCTTTACAGGCTTGACTGGAAATCTCTTTACTGCAACCACTCTGTATTTGTAGGGGGGGCTTTTAGAGTTGCATTAGTTTAATACTTCCCAGGTCGTGAACAATGCGTTGTCACTGAGAGAAGCACTGATCAAAAATGTTTACAGGGTGACACTTTCTCCCTTGGCTCAAATGCTTTGATTTGGCAGATCTTTAGAAATCTGGTTTTAGTATCTCTGAAGGAAGAATAGTACCAGTATGTACACAGACAGATGCTTAGAAAAGCCTACTGTCTCTGGTGTTTCAGGATATTCAGGCACACTGTCCCACTGCAGTGCCAGCATACAGTCCATACTTATAATTTTATTTTTGTTCAGGAAATTGTGAATGGTTATGCATGTAACTGTCTTGCTCTTTAGCTCAGAAAGTTGAACAAGAGAAAAACATCAGCTTAAGTTGATCATAGAAAGTAAAATAGTTTTCTGAGCAATCTAAAGTAAGCTGCAAAAAGGAACGACTTTGGCTTAGGGTCAAATGAAGCACTTTTTATTATTATTTTTAAAAATTTCTAAACTAAAATGTTCTGCAACTTTAAGTTGCAATTTATTCTGGGAATTGCCTAATCAGGACTTCCAGCATTTCCATAGTGTTACTGGTTTTTTTAATCAAAGTAATTATCAAGATCTAGCTGAATTTTCAAATAATTTTGCCCCCAAATTCTCTACAACCGCATTTTTGGCAAATGTGATAATTTGTCAAAAAACATTCCCCAGCTATAAAGAAGGGAATAATTTACTGAACCTAATATGAAAAGAAAGATTTTTGAAATTATTTTAAAATTTTAATAGAAATAGTTGTACTTTATTTAAACAAACCTTTATATGTGAAATGAAGAAACATTAGGAAGAGCAGCAATTGAAAAAATATTATTACATTGGAATCTCTGAATAATTTAAGATATCACTAGGAGGACAAGTGAGTGCATTAAAGAATTTCTACCAGGTACATCTTTAGGGTTAAAAATCTGCAACTCCCCAAACTGCCAAATAGCCCAGAATGACCATTTTCTTGGGTATGATGTATATTACTTTCTATGCATAGATTTAAGTGGGTTTATAATACAAATTTATGAGAGTCCCAAGCAGCATGTGACTCGGGTTGCTTGTACAAGTAGGTAAGGACACTGAAGATTATATTTGGCATATTTATATTCATTGAAACTTTTTTGCAAAACTAAATGTCCCTGAACACTTGAAAGGACGTTGTGAAAGAATATTGGTGAGCTAATTTTTTTATTCCTTCTCTGGCTAATTACACTTAGTTAGAATGAGCTATACTGACCTAATGCACTTTCCCTCATTATTTAGATAGTTTCTTCACCTTTTGCATTTTGTTCAGCTTGCACACTGAAAGTAGCCGTGTCAGCTGCTGGATTCTCCCACATACTGTCACAGCCTCTTCTCAGGCTGTAGCAGGAGTATTTTAACCTGTTAGAAAAAATTTAGAAAGTATTTTTCCTAGTCGTATTGGACCAAATCTCTCCTGGAGCAGCTGCACTGGCTACCTGTGAAATTCACTCAATACCTTGGGCTTTCCATGTGACGGGCCTTCAGATGAGCCGAGAGTACGAAGAAATTTGAGCATCAGGTGCGGGAGGGTAAGGTGGGAGCCTGTGGACCTGCATTACATCACATGTAGTGACAGGATGAGGGGGAATGGCTTTAAACTGGAAGAGGACAGGTTTAGATTAAACATTAAGAAGAAGTTTTTTTACTTTGAGGGTTGTAAGGCACTGGAACAGGTTGCCCAGAGAGGTGGTGGAGGCCCCATCCCTGGAGGTGTTCAAGGCCAGGCTGGACATGGCCTTGGGCAACCTGATCTAGTCAGAGGTGGCAGGGAGGTTGGAACTCGATGATCTTTAAGGTCCTTTCCAACCTAAACCATTCTATGATTCTATTAGGTGTCTGGTACCTGTTGTGACAAAGCTGTGGAAAAAACATAAAATGAAGCATCTTCTTCCCAGTCTGGACCTGCCCTGGCCCTGGGAAGCACCTGGGGGCCACAGCTCATCCACATGAGCATTTGCACCCATCTGTTGGTGTGGTCAAACCCTGCTGACCTGACACTTTGGGACCATGGCATGG